CCTCAGGCCTCCCCCCCCTCCCCCGCGGCAGAGTACGGCCGCCAGCATGCAGACAGCGTCCCACCAAGCCTCGCCGCAGCCCCTTCCCCTCCACCCCTTCCTCACCTGACGGGCGGAACTCCCGGCGGCCCCGCTCCCTTACGGCAGCTCGTCGGCCATTTCCCGTCTCGCCGAAGGAAGAGACGCGGGGCCCACAGGGAAAAAAGAATCAACCACCATAGAGAGCGGAGGGACGACCGCCGCCGCGGAGCGCGTCACTTCCGCTCGGCGCGGGGTGGTGCCGGCACCGCCAACCTCCCGGGCGCCATCTTGGTTGTGGGTAGCCGGCCGCAAGCAAGATGGCGGTCGCGGGGTGGGCGGGCAGCCGGGGAGGTTGCGGCCCGCGGGCAGTATGGGGGAGCCCTGCCCTAGTGTCCCCTCCAGCCCCGTCCCTCGGCCCAGGGAGCGTCGTGTCACGCGATGACAGCTTTTGTTTCCTCCCGCCGTCGCTTTTGTGTCCTCTCCTTGAGGGTCCCGGCGTGGTTACCTGCTGGGGAGGGAGCGCGTCCTTCCACGGGCGCAGCGTGATGGGAGCTGAGTGCAAAGCGGGGCTCGGCCTGCGGATCACAGTCGGGGGGCATTGGCGATTCTCCGTGCAGCAGGAAGGAGCTCGCCTAGCAGCAGCGCTTTACTGCAGCAGCTTTTGCAGCAGATGTTTGCGTATCGCTTGGTTGCAGTGCATCAGCCCAACGTTTGGGAACGGCGGACCCGAGGAAGTTAGCTGAGTGCTTACTCTGCCGCGGAAAAGTGCGGTAAAGGGCTGCGAGTGAGCTGCGTTAGCTGGTGCACAGAGATCACAGAATCGTAGGGGCTGGAAGGGACCTCTAGGATAATGTAGTCCAACCTCAGCTGAGCGCGTCCTCAAGCAGCAGGTCACACTACTCAAATCTCACTGGTCTGATACATTTTTTAAAACGCAGAGTACGCATGAGGCAGAATATATAAATAAATACATAAATAAGTAAAGAAAACATGCATGTGGTCAGTTTTTTTGCAGAATCTTTCAATTCAGGCACGATGGCTGGGCAGCAGCCAAAACGTACTGATGGTGGAAAAAGGAACGGAACATGGGAAGCTGATGTACCCTGTAACGTTGATTTGCTGTTTCCTGTGCAAAGTAACACACTTCTTACCTCCATCTAACCTGTAGTGATGTTTTAATGTTCTAGAATATGATTACTTTTGGTGACTAAGTTCTACAAATACAGACTTCCATGGAGGTAGCCACAAACAAATGACTTTGTGCCAAAACATAAACACAGTAGATATTTTCAGTTGTAGAAGCACAGAATCATTCAGGTTGAAAAAGACACATAAGAGCACCAAGTCCAACCATTAACCCATCCCCACCATGCCCACTAACCATATTCCTCAGTGCCACATCTATGCGCTTCTTGATTGCCTCCAGGGATGGTGACTCCAAAGCTTCCCTGGGCAGCCTGTTCCAATGCATCATCACCACTCTTTCTGAAAAAAATTTCTTCCTAATATCCAACCTGAACCTCCCCTGGTGCAACTTGAGGCAATTACCTCTCGTCCTACCACTGATACCTGGAAAGAAGAGGTCAGCCCTCACCTTACTACAACCACCTTTCAGGCAGCTGCAGAGAGCAATAAGATCTCCCCTGAGACTCCTCCACACTAAACCGCCCCTGTTCCCTCAGCTGTTCCCCATAAATCTTATGCTTCAGTCTCTTCATCAAATTTGTTGCCCTGACAAGCTGTGGTTAAGTGTTGGGCAACCTGGCCCAGACATGTGGTTCCCTTTCTTCCTTTTCACTTTTTCTGTTACACAGAGGTAACTAACCTGTCGCTGAAGGGCAACATGTGTACTGCAGCTTTTTCTGTGTTCAGCTATAAGGCTGTTAGTGTGGAAGTGCTTGACAATGCACTCAAGGGCAGGAGTCAGCTTTCTAGGGCTGGCAAGGTTTCAGAATTATTGTGGGATTTGGTTATGCACACATTTTAAATGATTCCAAAGACCAGTGGGATGCTCATGTTATTTCCTTTTTGTGTATTTTAATATGAGCATATTAGGTGTTGGACTAGATGATCCTTGTGGATCTGTGCCAACTTGAGGCATTCTCTCCCTTCTGTTTTCTGAGGTATGTGGGATGCATCATCCCACATGTGGGATATAGCTTATTTGGAAGGAGTGGTCGCTTATGCTTTTCAGTTCTCCATTCTATTTAAGAAAACATACTGAGAGTCCAGAAGAATAAATGAATAAATGAATAAATATATAAAAATAATATAATATGAAGCATTTTGCAGATTTGTTCTAATTATTCTAACTACATTTGTCTTAGAACAAAAAATACTATTTTTTTCAAGTTTTGTTTAGTGCCTTGTTTTATTAAAAATTTGGCTTTTGAGCTATAGGCTGTGTGACATTTCAGTGCAGTCTTTTGTCAAGTTAATGAGAAGACCAGGATGTGCTCCTGTGCCTTGAAACATATCATGAGTGGTTTTCCTTTATTAAACAAAACACATCTCCATTCACCTCTGTCCTGCAAGCTGGTGTACTTCTCCAATTACTTGATTCTCTGCCTTTGAGTGGCAATTTTCCTCAACAACTTATTTTTTTATATGAAGTTTGATTAAACAATCAAGGTCTGAAGGCACCTTTGACCTACTTTTGACATTTTCACACAACTACTTTCTGTTATAATTTTTTTCTGCTTTTATTTTCATCTAGCTATGTATTTTTTACTGTAGCATATAGCTTCTCTGGGTATGACACAAGGCATCACTTTATTTGAATACAGGAAGAGTCCAGAAAATTTACAGTGAAGTATGAAGGTCAGGGCAACCGGAAAATTCAGTTAGAGCTGCACAACAATACTGTGTCATCACTGGCCCAAGCCAAAATCCTGCTGTCTGCTATCACATGTTCTCACTATCAGTGACTCAGCTGAGTACTCACACATCTTCAGAGCACTAACATAGAGAGGAAAAATTACTAGGAAAGTCCATGGTTAACAGCAGTGAAATCTGAGCACCCATTAGGAAATGAAGCTTGTAAGTGTTACAAAATGATAATGTAACCTCAATTCCAAAGATTTATTAATAAGCCGAGAGTCAGTCTTCACAAAACTGGAGCACAGACTGTCACAAGTCAGGGTGCTGGCCTATACCTTTACATGCAGCTGTTACTCTACAATAGAGAATCACACCTAAATCAGCTTCCTTTTCAGTTTTACAGCACCCTTGGGTAAATTTTGTCAATCCACAACTGGGACGAGCTCCAGAGAGATATGTAAAGGGGATGCTTCAGTAGATGGCACTCTGCCTCTGAGTGAGGATGAGTAAATACCTCAGCCAAGGGATTTGATGCAGGGAAAGCAACTTCATTTATACTCTACTGAAATTAAAATGCAAACAAAGCTTTCCCTAACTGTGTCATGAAGCAACCTCTGGCAATTTTTCACAAAACTGGATCTATCAAGTCCTGGCATCTGGCTTTCTCTCTGTTAAAAAGACTAAGGTCTGTTTCTCTTGAAATCTTAATTATATGTATACACATATATATTTAGTTTTCAAAAAAGGTCTTAGTGGGAATGTAGTAACATCAGAATCTGGCTTTAGAGCTGTGCTGCTTTCTTAGCCATTTTTCTTGATTCATTATTTTACTGTACTATTTTGCTATTTTGTCTACAGTTCAAGAACTTAATGCTTTTGGGTTATGTGATGTTTTCATGTTACCTTGAAGCTGCAACATTTCAGAGATCTTATTAAAGAAAAGTTGCACTGAATTAGTGCAAGTGAGGAGATCTTAGCTTCAGATACAGGGACAACAGAGACCTGCTGAGCATTGGGAGATCTATAATCTTTTAAGCCAAATCTGCCACTAACCAAGCAGGAGTAATACAAAGCCTGGTCTTACAGCTTTCTGAATTGTACAGCATTTTCATCAGCCCTGAACAGAAGGGTAAGAAAAGAGAGTGAAAGAAATATTTGAGACAGAGAGTGCAGTAAGAATGCATGGGGCAAATTAAGTTTGTTCAACATTCAAAGTTTTGCATCTTGATTAATAGTGTACATTCATTCAGTTCACGGTTTATTAAGTAGTCCTTTAGCTATTATCTATCTGTGATCTATTTCTCTCTAATATCTGTTTTCATACTTGACTAGCGCACTTTTCTCCATCCCTGCCTCTCTCCTATGCTTCCTCAAAATTCTCTTTTCACAGATGATAGCTTAAAATCACAGTGAACTTGTAATGGTATTTCTAAAATCTGGAGCTTAGACTATCCTTTTCTTCCTTTAAGAGGAAAGCATTTGCTGCTGTAGCTCAAATAAAATTGTTGGTCCCTGTTTTTTCCAATATTCATGTCAGTCCAAGTCTGAGGGTTGTGTAGGTCTGTTAAAATGAAGACAAGCTAGGAAGAGTTTTTGCGTATGTCCCTCCAAGTGACAGTCATTTTTGAGCTGTTGAAAACATACCATTGGAAACTAGGGAAAGGAATTACCAGAAGTGGTTCATGCAGTGGAGTTCTGTGTGAGTGAAATGGTGGATGAATTATTGTTGAATAAATGTGTTTTTAGGTTTTATCTTTTTTAATTCAAAACCAAACAAACCTGTCAGATGCATAAGAGACTGTGTCCAAAAGCAATATTCTGTCCTCTATAAAGTAACTACACATCAGGTAAATTCTTGTACCTCTGGAAGCTCTCTGTTGAAAATGCCATTTAGTTACAGCATTTATCTATCATTTGGCAACTAGATTAGAACTTTAACATGCATTTTATACAGAATTCCAAATAGTCTTCAAACAGTAAGGCTAGGAAAAACCTCTCTTGCACATGACTGTATGGAGGTGAGGTGGAGAGACTTTTTTTACATTTTACAAAGGGAGTTGATTTTTTTTCCTTTGGAAGAAGAATCAGGAGGTAGGGTGTGGGGCTTCTACTATTTGGAATATCTTCTTTATAAGACTAAAGGTTTAAGTAAAATGGTTTAACACTGTTATGATGCTGCTGTTTTTTTTCGCTTTTACTTCTGCAGCCTTGAGCTGACTTTTGTTCAGTCAGATCAAGAATCACATTTAGGTCATGGAACTGATTGAAAACTTTAGGTTTATGATTGCAACCTAAGCATTTCTACAGCTACATTAATTTTGAAGGAGGCTTGAAGGCCCACAAACTAGCCTTCTAATCTTGTCTTCAAGTAGTGGTTTCAAATCAAAGACAAACAATTTCCTGACTGAATCATCAGATTAAGTATTGGGATACCTGAGTTCTATGCTTCTAGGAAAGTTACAGCCTAATCTCCAGGTCTGCTGAGTTCATTTAATTAATTTTACATGGTGTTACAAGATCTCAGCACCTCTGAAACTTGTTTTTAAATCTTTGTGTGAATGTCTTCCTTACAGATAAACTGGAAAGCTGTTTAATGTGTGTAATATAATTTGAAATGCTTATTAAATACACGTTACAGAAGTACAGTGATTGCTAGCAAGTGTCTTGTTGAAACAGTTCTGCTTTTTTCTTATCTGAATGCAGTACAGTTCAAATTACCTTAAAATATTTCCTTACAATTAAGCCGCACTGTTCTGTAGACAGTAGAGAACAGGAGACAGAAGGAGCATGTGATGGGTTCCCAGGGTCTGCCACCTCACTGTTTTTAGGATGGAAGCTGGAGGGTGGATGATCATAAGCAAAACCTGAAGAGCAAGTGGTGGCAGAAGCCAAACCTTAAAATCACGAGGTTCCCCGTGGTTTAGAAGGATCCTACTGAATATGTCCAGAAGACATGCTGTGAAAACTGGCATGTTAACCTAGTTTTTGATAGGTTTGAGAAGCAGGTCAGTGACCAGGATTCAGTGGGTTTGCAAAGCTGGTTGAGGAAGTAGCTGGAAGAATCCAAGACTCAACTGCACATGCAAGAGAGGTCTCACAACTTCTGGGATACGGATTGGGTGTATCTGCACAGCGTAGCATTTTAGTCTAAGAAAAGTACATCACATGTAACTAAGTAAGAAACAGCAGCACCAGACAGACCACTGACATTTGGGTGGGCCTGCTCACTGATGTTTGAAGGTGGGGGAAAAACAAGGGATTGGATTTTCAACCATGATTTATTTAGAAATTTAAGATCCACTGAAGGACAGTGAGACTAAAACTTACAACTTAGTGTGCCAAATGCAATGGTTAGAGTAAGTTTATAGAAGTTAATAAAAGTCATCAACTCTCATCAAACTAATACATGCTGGTTTTGTAATGAAGATGATCTAGTATCAAATGAGATTTTACTCAAAACCTGAAGAATGTTACAGTTATCACTTTATGCTACATTAATTAGAGCAAAGTCATTTATAAGACTATTCAGTCAAGGGTGGGCACATGCTCCATCCTCGTGAAGTATGCAAAATAATGGGGTGGAAAGAGAACAGCTTTTTTTCCCTTAACATCCCTTTTCTGCCTGAAAACTTGCAGATGTCTTTTAGAATCAAGACAGCAACACCAGCCCATAACTAACTTTCCCTGCCCACTCTCAGTTCTAAATTCACTTGGCCACTGATTTTTTTTTTTTTTTAATTCCAGTTTTCCATTCTTACTGATTTGCAGAGTCTCATTTGGCTGAGTTATGAGCTGCTTGCCCAACAGGGTTTTTGTTCTGGTCTACCAAAAACTGGAAAAACCTGTTAGTGTACAAGCTTTTTTTTTTTTTTTTTCCCCAGTCTTCCTCTCCCATTGGCAGTTACAGCCTATACACATGCACACAAGGTGGTGCTTACCTTTCATGTGGAAAACTGCCTTACAAAAACTGAAGTTGTTTTTTTCATCACCTCATTGCTTTTCTAGCTTCATGAAGGCTTTTGTGGATACTTCAAGAGTTAAACTCTGTTCTCCATGGAATGGGTTTAGGTCATCATCTTATTTTTCTTCAAGAAAAGGGAGGGTGTCTGTGCATGGCTCAGGTCCAGCCTTTTCAGTAATATTTGATAGACTGGGAGATCCACAGAAATCAGCTTTGTTGTGCAATGTAGCTTTTTGGGTGCAGATGCTTGACTCCTTCACAGCAGCTGCACATCATGTCATGCTGACATCTGTAAGACTGGACAAACACCAAAGTGGCAAGTAAGTGCAAAACATCAACAAGTTGGGGAGAAACTTTTTTTTTCCCCATCTCTTTCCTTTTCCTCTTGTTTTGTTTTGGTTTTTTTTGCTGCTGTTGGAGCAAGAATGGGTCAGCTCTGTGGACGGTGCATGCAGCTGCTGCGCGACTTTGTGGCCTTCATTCAGAAGATGTCTTCAGAGCTGGTGTACAGCATAAAGGAATGCTTAGCTCTGATAAGTGAGTGCTCCTGCTTGAAACAGAATGCCTCAAAAACGAGACAGCTGTACAAGCCCATGCTGCAGCCTCATGAGCGGGTGACAGCACAGGAATTTCTGCAGCAAATTGAAAGAGGTAAGAGCATGAGGTTTTTGAAAGGATTGTGAAAGGGGAAGGAGAATCTTTTGGGGAGCTGAAAACAGATTTCCATCTGAACTGCTCTGGTGTGGTATAGTGGTGTAGGAAAGGACAGAACCACAGAGCATTTTCTTTGTGTATGGGACACCAAAAGCTCGAGTGGCACAACAGTTGGATTCAGGCAGAAGTGACCTATTCTTTTCTGCTGTGCCACCACTGTTAAACATGACCCATGTACATATGCTTAGTGAAAACAAGTCCTTCTAGCAACTGAAGTTAACTTTTTGAGTCAGTCCCTGAAGCATCAAAGCTGGAAAGAGGACTGTGTCAACACTGGGCACTACAGGAGCCTGTTAGCAGGAAACAGCAGCATGTTCCTGGCTGAGTTGTTCACATACATCTGTGGTCTGGTGCAGAGCACCTGGAGCTGCACTGAAGTGCCTGTGCTGTATGTGAGGAAGGCTAAGGACACCCTGGGGCAAGTGCCATTGGGCTCAGAGGGCTTCCCCAAACTCCAATAAACTGGTCTGCCAGTATGCACTTTTACGTACATGTTTAAGGCACAGAGCTTGAACGCAGTCATAGGATTCAGCTTGAATCAAAACAGACCCATAAGTCTGTGTTCGTCTACCTTGGGTGTCCTCTCAATTCTGTCCTAAGATACAACATATTAGTAGGAAAACTTTTTTTTTTTTTTTTTTAATTTAATTCCTGCTGTCACAAAATGTCTTCTTGAATGAGTGTGTTTTGTCAGTTGTCCAACCTGAAAGCATTCTTATCTCAGTCTTGAAGAGGGAGCAGTTGCCTGTTGGTTTTTTGCTTTGTCTTACAGCTAATTGCATGCATTGTGTTAAGTTTAACAACCTTGGGCTGAAGGTAGTAGACAAAATTGCATATCCTTCTGCTTTCATTTCCATGCAGGGTGCAGGACACTACAAACTAAAAACTATTTCTTTACTTGATTCTTGTGACATGAACCAAGAGAGACGTTTATCCTTGATGTAACACAGATAAATGTTTGAAATGATCTGTCATGGAACAACTTTTGGAATGGTTGTTGTGATGCTGACCTGCATCCTTGAACTACACAAGGATTAGCCTCAGCTGATGTCCTTACTCGTTAAACACAGGGATCTTGTGCTTTTAATTAACTGCTGTATATGAAGCACTTATCCCAATGTCCCAATGTCTATATCCAGAATAGGACTTTACTTTTCATTTTTGTTTGCAGTGATAATCTTCCAAAGCTGAACATTTTCTTCCAAAAGCTAACGTGGTCCTGGCCATTTATGAGTGTTTTGACAGTAATCCTGCTCAACCAAGAGATCAGGTGCAAGTAAAGAGTGATCTGGAAAAAATGATGAGAACATTATGGCCCTTTACAGCACCCACTAGTGCTTCCTGAAAAGAATAAATGTATGTTTTCTTGAGAAATGCTTTCCTCTCTGAGATGGGTCCACAAAGGTCCAGTTTGTCCTGGCTTCTGAGGAGCTGGGATAGAGCAGCAGGGAGTCTTTAGCTTCTGTGGCAGCAGTGCAGAGGTGGCCACACATGCTCTTAGGAAAGTCTCAATGTCTATGATAGGAGAAAAGCACGGGAAGAAGGACCAAGATCAGTTCTCTGAGTGGCCAAAGTCTGCTGCCAAGATAGGAGCAGAGTTTGGGAGCCTCAGAAAGAGAACCAAGACACGTATATCGTACTTTAGTACTCATCTGTGTATTTTATTCCAAGATGAGATGAGCAAGTCCATCCTCAAATTTGGACAAATTATAATAAGCAGAGAGCCAACATACGGACAAATGAGTGCAAGGAAAGACTTTGTGATAGGTCATATTCATTTGTTAGCTACATCAGCAAATGTTTGATAAGCAGTTGAACATTTTGTGTGGCTTTTTCTTTATCAGTCTCCCAAATAAATATGCACAGATATCTGAGGGATTCAAGTAGTCAGTGTGTAAGGAAGGGAATTAAAGTACATGATCCTTGTTTTTTTCTCAAGGTTTCTTGCACACACTGATGGCTAGTCCTTCCCTTTGTGTTTATTGCTAACTATTAAATAAAGCTGATCACTATATGAAGCATTTGTTCTGTGAAACACACTTACTTTGAAGGTAAGCATTTGCTATTCTTGATATGTCAGCAGCCTCTAATAGCTTGAAATATTGGCTGGGTTTCACACTGAGTCATGAAAGCTCTCAAACTTCACATTCCTCACATCCCTGTTATCCCATGTGAAGAAAAGTAGCTAGATCTTGTTCTTCACACAGATATTTCAATCTTAAATGTACTGCCTAAATCTTATCTAAAGATGGATCATGTACTTGTGTGCTCCACCAGTCAATATTCAGTACATTACCTTTTCAACTGTTGATGCTATTGAGCTCTGGATCAATGGTCATTTTTTTCCTCTTTGTTGTTCCATTCCCTGCACTGTAAGCACATAATGCAGTAACTTACAGAAATCATGGAACTGCTATTGCTGTACTCTCGATGGCTATTGCTGAACATTTGGTTTATTCGTGGAGGAACTATCATACTCGAGAACAGGTAGACACATGCTAGGAATTTGAGCCGGAGGCAATCCCATTTGCAATGCACATTGGTATTTCCTGAAATCCATTATTATAATACAAAGAATAGAAAACACAGCAAAAATAAGAAGTTGTAAATTAAAAATATGTTCTTGTTCTATAGCTTGTAGCAAAGAATGCCACTTTCAGGTGATACATTTTAACAAAAACCTTCTGTGGTTCAGGAAGCAATAGAAGTTTTATGGAGAAGAACAACACGCATTTATACTGGATAACATAAAAGTGTCTAAAGGTTATAATTTATCTTGCACCCAATCACTAGCTTCAGGAACTTCATAAGAGGCACTGCCAAGGACAGGTTATTCTGGGTTTGTTTATTGCTGCTGCTCCTGGAAATATGAAGAGTATAGATGAGCTCTATGGGGCTGATTCAGTACAAAAATGCTTACTTGTTTGATTGGCTGTAAACTTTAATTTCTTTTTGTAAACTATACTTTTCCAAGTGTAATTAAGTCTGTGCTGTAACTGTATATCTTTAGGTTTTGAAATGTCACCCCTGGGAAAGGACCCTCTGGAAGCCTTGAGGACCTTAGCTTTTTCAGAAAACCCAGGTCTACAGCAGTCGGCTGCTCTCTATTATTTGCATATGAGCCAGCACAGTAAGTTATCTCAGTGCCTTAGAAAATTTCAACATAATTATAAATAAAATCGTATTTTCCACCTGTGAAACCTGCTTTGATTCATTAATCAAATTCATTAATCAAAGCTCTTTTTTTTTTTTCCTGCTGCATTTTTTACCCGGAAAAATGGAAATGCTGTCATTGCCATATGGGCAGAATCATTCTGGAGTTTGCTATGAGGAGATTATCTCTCATGATTATAAACTGTCATTGGTGTTGAAAACAAATCAGCAGACTCTGAAGTATCTAGAGTCAGTGTATTCTGAATCTCCTGAGAGCAACACACAGAGAATCTGGTGGCAGGAAGTGGTCATAGTGATCTTTTAAGGTTTTGCAGTGTATGAGTTTTTGGCAGAGGACAAAGCCCTCAAAGCTAGGTTGTAGTGAAGACACGAAGGAAACATTATGGTTTGTAGCCAGTACTCTGTGGGAGCCACTGCTTGGCTCTTGAGGCAATTTGTGAACATCTAGAAATCAGCCTTGATATGCCAAATAAGATTCCAGCAAGAGTTTGGGTCCTACATAAAAGCAGAAATACCAGCAACAAGCAAGCTGTGTTTTATTTATTTATTTGCTTTTTATAATTGTACATCAAGCTTTATCCTCTGTATTTTTTCTAGATAAAAAAGTGCAGACTACTCAACATGAGGACCTGCTATGAGGTGGAATGACTTGTTCGGTAGCTAGGCATGTCAGTTTCCTTTTCATATTTTTAAAGTACTTGATTATTCAAAACCTTCTCAGGAAATTTGGCCTGTTTTGCCTGTAGCACTGTAATTTAAATGATGGAGAACACCACTCAGCCCATTTATGGTAACAACTCGGGCCCAAGACCAAAAAGTGGAAAATGAGAGCAATGTGAACGATGAGACTCCTGAGCATTTCCTTTTATTCCTGCAGTGAATGTTCCCCTGCCAGCAGAGCATCTAGAGCCCTTCTATGCCTTACTACGGTCTGCTGACCTGGAGGTGCAACAGATGTCTTCTTTGTCCCTTGTCAACTTTTTGCTGGAAGGAAATAGTGAGTAATTAATAATGCATTTCCCATTCTAGTGTATCTCTTATGCAGGACTCAGTACAGAAGGCAGGCACTTCTCCATAGTGACATTTTCACAGATCCAAATTCCCTTTTTTTGTGTTCTAGGTAGGACGGATGTGAGTTTGCTTGCAAGCCACATAGATGCTGGATATGTTAGGTCCCATAGCAGCAATGCTGTATCATGTGGGAAGTAATCTTGGATCTTTTTGCAAAGACTGTTACATTTTTCTCAGGCTGGTGTAGGAATATCTGTACTACTCTTTTTCTTGAATTGAGAGCCTACCACTTACTCTTTCAAGCAACAGATACAGCTCTCAGAAACAAATGCCTGTGAGATGACATTCATTTTTCTTTTACTAATTAACTGAAACTCATGCTTAAATTGCTTACAGTTTGGAAAAAAATGCTTAGATCTTTAGTATAATTGACTGTCTTCTGTAGCTTCTGAGACCTGTTTAATTGAGTTAGTATCTGGGAGCTGCAGAGGACATGTTAAAAATATATTTATAAAGGTAGACTTCAGAACATGGAGAGCAGGTGAACAAATTATGAACCTATTGGAAAACTGCAGTTGCAGTTTCCGAAATGAACTGTGTGTTTGAAAATAGAATTGCTGGTAGAAATATTTGGAAGCATCTGAACATCTCTTACTTTATCTGACAATGAATCAAGCAAACCAAGTAAGAGATTGTAAGTGCCTTTCAGGCTGTTTCTATCTTAGGTCTATTTTGCTTAGTCAAAATACAGACCACAAAGGAAGGATATATTCTTTTAATGAAGGCTTTAACTATTTACTTTCTTGTTTGTCCATTTGTTTGTGAATCTATGAATAGTTGACAAAGAAATGGTTGTCCAAATGGGTTTACTTGAGCCAATTCTGGATCTGCTTGAGTCAGTGGATCCCACTGTCCAGTGTAATTCCTGTGCCTGCACAATGACTTTAGCTGTTTCAGGTGAGTGTGCTGTTCTTTCCCTTTATCCTCTGCACTGAATCCATTCAACTTTTATGTCACATTTCCGTATGATACCACTTTCTTGCAATTGGATTAAGAGTCAACAGGTGCCACATTGGTATCTTTTTGGTATTGTTATTTCACAAATTCTTGAGATTCTGGTTAAGATCTTCTCAGTGTTTCTGGCCTTTTTTGTCTTACAATTATAAACCCTTTTTAGATTTCCAACCTAAATATATTAATGACTACCGTATCTTAATTAGTGTCTATATTGGTTTTTAACTTCAATATTTCTCCCTCTTTGATGTCTATACCAATGAAGATCTTTCATTTTACTAGAATGTGAAAGCCAAGTTCATTTAAGATTTCTTTTGTAAATTAGACTCTCCATTTATGTCCATAGCCCTTTTGGGTGTAAAGCATATGTTCCAGAAATGGAACATAGCTATTTTGCAGTACCACAAACCTCAAGCATTGTTACAGTCAGAAGACATACGTAAGTGCTGTAGGAGTTTAATTTTGAATTTATCCCTTCTGAAAGACAGTGACAAGAAACATGCAGTACTTCAGTTGGGATCTCATCCATGTCTTCTACTGTGACATCCAGGAAAATATGTGTCTGATACATCTGATGATAACATTTATGTCTTTTGCGTTATGGTGTTGTTGTCATCCTGCAACTGATTTACCATTTAGACTTTATCTTCCTCTGCTGCTATTTTGTGTCATCATCAGTTTGTTAAGGGTCTGCAACAAAGCTCAACCACTGTTACCAAAAGTCATCATGTTAATCTAGCTTATTATGCCTTTCTCAAACTGCATTGTTCATGTGTAAAGAATATGTAAAGGTCTGCTTAAAACTTATAAATAATGCTTATTTCCCTTCCTATCTTGTTTTTCTATCAACTTCCCCCTCAGCATGGGAAGCTGCCACCTGATCTCCCAAGAGGCTGTGAGAGGAATTGTAGATGCTTAACTTTCTCACTTGGTTACTTATGTTGTGAAGAGAGAGCGGATAAGCAGGATCCAACCATGTGAAAGTGCTGATTTGCTTTTTTTACTTCAAATTTGAGATTCCCGGGCATAGGAGGGCTTTTGTTATAGTTACATGTATAGTTAGTGGAGTTTTTCTCCTGAAGATCTACAGAGGCAGATCCCTCCAGCTGTTTTAAGTAGTGCACAGAGAAAGGGATGTCCTCTGGAACCGAAAGATGTTAATTAGTATTGAAGGCACTCTGTACCTCCTTGATGTCTCTGTTTAACCCAGGTTGCAGGGAACCCTCAGCCACTCTAGTTGCATTCTCTTTTGAGGATGGTTACCTAACACCACTGCACATTCTGTAAGTGCCAGTGTACTTTTGAGCACAAGTAGATCACATTAAGCACTCAAGCCTACGTAAGAAAGCATCTGCTGAACATAAAGGTAGACAGTCCTGCAAATGCATAGGCTGGGTTGCTGACTGGGGCTTAGATCAGTTTTGAACATGTCTCAATTTAACTAGGATTTGGATGGACTGGATCCATTTCTTTCTTTCTCAGAATATGATTTGCTGCCACAGCAATGAGACTAAAGCAAGAAGCAACTTGCCCTGATATCTTAAAGAATCTGCTTGAGAAAACAAGGTTGCTCAGTCATGACCTTCAAGTATGCCATTCATGCTTGAGAATATTTTTTAAAAGATAAACGTGGAAGCAGAACAAAACTGGAAAGACCCTTTAGATAGCTTTGAAGTGACTAAAACTTTAAATCCAAGAGTGGCAACGTGTCTTAACTCTGCTGCAATACACGTCCGTGGCTGTGCAGGGTGAAGTTATTTAGTAATGTGACTGCAAATTATATGTGAACTGGGATATCCAGTACTTACTGGCTGCCAGAAATAGCCAAAAACTAAACAACAAACAAGCTCATTTAGATTAAAAGGATTTCAAGGTCAGTTGGTTCCAATACTGGTATTTATTCACACAGCAAGAGGACATGCATACATCTGCAATTATCTGTTTCAATCTGTGAGTGGAAACAATCAGTTCTGGGATAAGAACTCTCCTCAGAGTAGATAAGAACAGAACTAAATGTTCACAGCAAGGGTTTGGGGAGGCCATAAATCTTACCAAAAACAGTGCACATCCAAAGCTGTGCTGTCAGGAGAATTTTAAAGCACACAAACAGCAGAAAGTGAAAGGAAAGAATTTATAAATGTAGGTTTCCAGGTGGATTATTCAAATCCAGTTTGAGTAGATGTTAGTGATTCAGCTACTTTAGATTAGTATGTGGATACGTGGTTCCCTTCTAAAAACACTTTCAGGAGAAGTGATTTCTGCACCGGCATCAGTGAAGGAACCGCATTATGTAGATTTTCTTCTTCTCTGGAGATACTCTTCTCTGGAGATATTCAAGACCCACCTGGATGCCTACCTGTGCTGCCTGCTGTAGGGAGCCTGCTTTGCAGGGGGGTTGGATTCGATGATCCCAAGAGGTCCTTTGCAACACCTACAGTTCTGTGATTCTGTGATAAGCAGATGGGCCATGGAGATGATAATACAATTATACACCATGGTGAGGTAGATATTTTCATAAATTCTGCCGTAAGCTGATGAAACAGATTGTGTTCAGTGTTCACATTATCTGACTACAATTAGAATGAGAATGGAGGGAGGGATGAGGGAAAATGATTTATGCAAAAATAAAACCAGCAAGTCCACAATAACAGGCTCTAAGAAAGATGGTGAAGCTGAATTTCTCAGCTTGTGAATCACCAAAAGAAAAGGGAAAAAAGGGTTTTTTGGTCATAGGGGTTTCCACTCTCCCAAATTGAGAGTGGGTGCTCCAGTCACTCCCAGGCGAGAGCAAGGTGCCAAATCCATGTGCCACCACCTCCACCAACACAGGCTGCATGAGCCCATCCCACCACTGCAGACTTCCAGTGTCAACCACCACTATCATGGAGCTTTCATTTTCAAATCAAACTGTTCTTTTTTTCTTCTTAAAGGAAGAAAAATATTTGAGGCACCCAGTGGCTCAATATTCTATCATGGTCACCTGCTTCCTTCAGAAGATCTTTGGATGAAAACGTGTCCCTGAGAAGCTCTTTCACATGAGGACGTAGGCTCTGCTTTCCCTATCCCAGAGAGGAAGGTGGAAGAAAAAAAATGCCCAAATTTTTGGGCATTACAGACATTTGTAATGCCTGTGCCAAAATGTGAGCTTTTCTTCCTCACTCATAATGGAGTGTATTGTGTGAAAGAATGAGGAAGGATCAATATCTGGATGCTCAATCTTTTTGTCTCTCCCCTTTATCCAGTTTATTAGAGTTTACATCACATCAGACTGGTTTGCATCAGTTGGAGCTGCACTAAATAATTTCTGCTTCCACTGTGGGAAACAAAAGAACAGTACACAGATGGATTATATTGGAGAAAGACTTATTTACAAAATTGACCTGAAAATTTCACCTGAGTAATTGCTTCCCATGTGACACGGACATTTTTAAATAGATAGCTTTTCCCAGAGCAATTATTTCACTCAAAAATTAGAATATTTTTTCCATTACAAAAGGTCTTTCTTTGAGTATAAAATATACATATGAAGGCAAAAAAGGACTTAATCTGGAATACTAAACTGATCCCAGCTGAACTGTGCTTGAATAGATATCCTTGACTATCTGTCTGTGTGTGCACCAGTTCCTTAGTGTAGAACAGCTCCAGGAACAGATGTTTTTGTTCTCATAACTCTCTAAGTTTGTTGGCACCTGAAGGTATGATGTGATCCAAATACTTTCACATTTCTTGCTTGCTTGTGTTTCATGTTTCTCTCGACAGGGTTTCAGAGACTGGGCATTGTTTAAACAGTCTAGAAATGTACATAAATGAATCAGTACTCCAAAGAAAGCCAATCCTGCCAGCTGTCCTGCTCCTGACTCTCAGCAAAAGGATATTGTGCGGCACTGTCTCATTTTTTTCCCCAGAATCCAACCGAGAGGCTATTGGCGCTGCTCAAGGAGTTACACCTTTACTGTCTCTTGCCAATTCCTATGATCCTAGAGTACAACAAAATGCAGTTGGTGCTATTCTCAACCTTACACAATCAGGTACTTTCTGACTAATGGTTTAGCTAACACTGCTAAAGAAAATTCCTCAGCAGTAGAAAGATACATAAATAGAAAGGATTAAGACAAGAACAAAAGCTTATCTGTACAACAAGTTATTTTATACAATATTTGCTTATTGTATTTATGATGATACCACAGCCTGATTATTTCAGTTTGGCCTCTCCTTAACTAGTGGAGACCCATTTTTACCTAAACCCAAAATAGGAAGGCTTGACTTTTGAACTCAAAGAATTAATGTGCAAGCAATTAAAATATGAAAGAAACAGAAATAATGATTATTTATTTAAGAAATATTTTAGTCTAAAAAGCTATCAGCACATCTGGTAGTACTTTGAAGCAATCCAGCAAGGATTATCTAAATTTATCCTGCAAGGTCAAGCTGTGATATTGTTTAACTTGTATCTCAACTCAGTGTTGGATGATTCAAAATGCACATGACACCATTATCCCACACAGCTAGAAAGGAATAATCTTATTTCTATACAGTGAGGAGATGATTGGCAAGAACTTTTACAATTGACTATTACTTCTGCTATTATTGTTTGTTTTACATGGAAATCATGCGTGGTGAATATCTGCTTGAGGTTTTTTGTATTCTCCACCAAATCACATTCTCTCAATAGGCTATAGCAGAAAACCAGCATAAGCTTAATCAACCAGCCTACGTCATTTTGCTAAAATGACTGCACACTACTGTCTTACGCCAACTCTAAATGGTGTGCTCTGATGTTTGGATAAGCATAATCACTCTATTGTGCATATCCCTGTTGAATAATGCCTCCAGATGAGAGAGAGGGAAGGGAAAGGACACATTAAAAGAACTTTGTTTTCTTAAATGGCAGAGAGGATCCAACTGGTCTTGTGCAAGGAAGGAGCCCTGCCAGTTCTCACCTTGCTGCTGGAGTCCCCTGACTCAGAAGTGCAGGTATGGCACAGGTCAGATTTTCTAACAAGGATAGTGTGACTGTAGGGAGAGCACAAACCACAGAACTGGGAAATGCAAAGGTAGAGGGAGGGGAAGGCTCTGCAGAGAAGCAGAGTGACATGTGAGTGCATCTTGGAGGAACTCAGCTCAGTCAGACAACATCTATTCAAAGCACATGATTTGTTTAGCTCCACAGGGGATTTACGATGCCAGCACATACTAATACATGCACACAGTTGTTATACAGCTACCTTTCTGTGTCTTTTGGACCATCAGATCAGCTGCTGATAGGCCTGCACTTCTGCACTTCTTGCCTCCTTTGATCTTCCCCTCTAAACAATTCTGCTAAGTGTTTTAGAAGGCAAAACTTGCAAAGAATTTTTTCTCATTGTTTGGGATGTCTTGGAACTCTTCCTGTTTTATGCTTACCCCAGACATCTTATATTTCTGCACAGTTAACAGAGTTGCTCCTTGATTTCAAGTATGCTAATGAAAACTGTGAGTCAGATTTGTAAACCTTAAAGTCCACTTGTTCATTCAGTTTGTCTGAGAAGCACAGGATTGTTTCCTGCAGTGTTCTCATTGGTTCAGTTGTAAATGTCAGAAGTGATGGAGTCTCTGGAACTGCTTTCTGCAAACTATATCAGCATCACCTAGTTCTCCTGACATTCATCTTAAAATTTCTTTCTCTGCAGTTCAACCTGCTCCTTCTAATTATACCTCCCAAGTACCACATGTTTTAATATGTATAATCTTCCCTGGAATTAATGTTTAAATCTTTTGAAAATGATCTCTTGGCATGCTAGGGCAGTGACAACAGCCGTCTCCAGTCAACCAGTGTAAATATACAATGCAGTCCATGTAGATGAGCTAAGGTAGGTGTCAGCTGAGGAGTAGCTGCAGTAGTACAGGACATTCCCAGACACCAGGAGCACGTGGGTTTGTGCAGCGTGCACTGCCACAGCATGGCTGCTGTTGTAGCAGCAGCAGATATAGCATTGTTTTTCATGAGCGCACTCAGGCTGTTATCAGGTCTACCTCACAAAATATCTGAAGGTGAAAAAGCACTGTATTTTCTTCAGCTCTCAATCTGAGCATTTCTCCAATTTAGTTTGACTCACTTCAGTGTTGTCATCACTGTAACCACCTCTCTCCCTGTTTTTTTCCCTTGTCTCTCCACAGTATTATAGCTGTGCTGCCCTAAGCAACATAGCAGCCAATGCTCAGCACCATGAGGCCATGCTGAGAATTGGTGACAGATTCCTGCTGCGCATGCTCATCTCTCTTCTGTCCTCCTCTGTGGACAAGGTAAAGCTGCAACCCTCTCTTTACATGAAGGTTTAGCATCAGAGTACAGCTATAAAGCTGGGCTTTCAGTTTCAGACTGGCACACTTCTGCTTATCTACTGCACAGTTGTCTCTATGACATCTTTCCCACAAGGAAAGACACACGTTAAAACATATGTAGGTTCTCTGAGGGCAATGTCTGGAGAAAGAAAAGGGAATCATTAAAGCCATGGACACTATCTTTAGGCTAGGTGACCTATTGTCTTTAAACTTAAAACTGCATATGAAGTGCTCTGTCCAGGCTCTCACACTTATTATGCTACTTCTCCCTTTTTTCCCCTTCCCTGTGATATCCTTAGCTTTGACTAGATGGCTTCAAAGAATAACATCTAGAAAATCTTGCTTAGCTGGGAACCACTCTCTTAAAAAACTTCAGCAAGGTTCAATTCAGGATTTAAAGGGTAAAGCCTTAAATTCTGTGTTATCTCTCCTAGTTGAAAAAGAAAATAAATAAAAGCACATGAGACAAACTCAGTCTGTACATTTTCCTATAATTGATTTGACATTCCAAAAATAATCCAAAAACTGAACTCCATTGGCTCTTCCTCATCAACAACTTATCTAGGAGAAGTTGAAACAAACTCATTTTAAAAAAATGGTTAAAAAAAAAGGCCCAAAATTTGTGCTCTGAAGATAGTATGATAGCTTGCCAGCGTTTTCACATTTACTTTGAGTACAATAGCCAAGAACACGCATTACTGAAACCACTCTTTTTCTCTCTTTTTCTTTTTCCCATTGGCACAAGAAGGTTTCAAGCCAGGCATGTGTTTGCCTAAGAAATTTGGCTACCAGGGGTAAGTACCGTGTTACAGATAAATGAACCACACTATTTCTTTTCCTTTCTCTCTCTGCCTTTTGTTATGATCATGGTGGGGTTGGCAACCTTGCCCATTAAAAACAGAGACACCCTCATTTTTGCATGTTAGTTGGATGCTGCAGGAAGACGGAGGTTCTGTGTGCACTCAACTAAACCCACCCAAAGCAGTGAGAGGTAGTACCCAAAGCGAGGGAGCCAGCACATATCTTGTGTATACAGGGCCTTTTGCTCCCCTCCACATTTCCCAATCATTATAACTCTGATTAGGACAGAACATGTCCTGAAATTGCTGCCTGAGTGGGGCCTGCCCGCTCCTAAGGCATGAATCTCTCATTAACCGTAATTCTCCCCGAGCATTTGTCATCCTCTTAAAAAAAAATCCTATCCTGTTAAGTACCCCAATCCATTTCTACCACATACTCCAGAGATGAAAGCTGAGGAGCTGCATGTTCAGCACTAGAGTCTTAGGGCCCAGAGTAAAGTTGTTCATCTAGAAATTGTGGTGGCACCTTGTTATCAAGCAATTGCAGTAATGGTGGGGCAGGGAGAAAAGGCCCTTCTCTTTGCTCCATGGTGTCTCTGGTCTTTGAGACTTTGAGATTGCAGGGCCAGCATTGTAGAAGGACCGTGATTGAGACAGGTGGTGCTCAAGGAGGTCTTTCTGCCCCTTCTATAGAGTTTTAGGCCAATGAATTGCTCAGAAATGCCCCTCATTTTTTCTCACTGAAGTTTAGACATAAAATGAAGGTGTCCAAAGCTACATGCTACTCTCAAACCTGTATTAATTCTTGGCCTAATAAGCCAGACCAAATGAGGTTTAATTTTTCTAATGAAATACCGAGCACTGTCCTGTACCACAGAGATTGGGTTGTCCCCTCTAATGTCCTCACATTTCATCATCACCTTCTCCACACAGCAGACACACAGGCTGAGCTGGTTGCTAAGGATGTCCTGCCCAGGCTGTGCTCTCTCCTGGTGTCCAGCAGTGAGGATGCATGTCGTGCAGCTGTCGCTCTGTTCTGGGTGTTGTCCCAGCACCCACACAATCAGGTATGGCAGCTTGCCCCTGAGAGCCAGAGGGAAAGAACAGTTCTGGCCACTGCCTGCATTAACACTGTTACAGCATTCTGTGAGGTGTGCTGATATGCTCTGTGAGATCTCCCAATCCTTCCCCTTTCTGCCTCAAACGATGAGGTTTTCCTACTCCAGCTGCACTGTCTCTACCCAAGGAGCCTATCTGTTGTAGTGAGTGAGAAGCTGGGGACCCCATAGTTCATTGGATCACTTGTGAAGAGGCCCTGGGGAGGGAAAAGGTGGAGATGGATGTCAGATTGCTTAGCAGAGCAGACACCACCCTGCACTCCTTGTGTTCCCCTCGCTTTCCAGATTGTCAGCAGACTTTCTCTTTTTTTAAATTAGACTTGAGATAATTTGAAAGTCCATCGATCTTTAGCTAATTCACTAGAACTTTCCTGTGACTCTTTATGTCCTTAGGTACAGAATGGTTTCTTTCCCCATGTTCAAAGCAAACACTACCGTTCAGCAAGTGTAATGCCATGCAAACATATGAAGAACTCTAGCTAAAAATAAACTGCAGCAAACAACCAACACAGGCACGCCTGCTGTACTTTCATCCTCCACATGAAGCACCAAATTGCTAAGTAGTGGCAGACATTACTATTACCATTTTTAAACACGCTCTTCCATTCAAGTGATTAAAGGCATCCTTAGGAACACAGATATGAAAGGTTTTTATTAGCTGGCTTAAGCTAACAATAATCTCATGGGGGAGAGCTGGAGTTTGGGCAGATAAAGGAAAAAAAAAGAAAGCAAGGACCTTTCTTGTCACACTACTGTAAGCAGCAGTGACAGCCTCAGTGACCACAGCTGGGCCCAGGTGGGGCTGAGACTTGGAATTTCCCCAAGGCACTGGAGATCTGGTGCCTCACATCCTGTTGCATGTACATGGCACAGCATGAAATGAATTGTGCCTCCTCTAACTCAGGGACATGATGGAAAAATTGGGAAAGCTCAATGCCCATGGAGCCACAGAGGACTGAGTTTTCCAAAAGTTTTGTGCAGGCCATATTAGCACCACATATCCTTGTGGCACATCGAACTGTCTGCTGCAACTGAGTGCAATTTGATCTTAGTAAGCTTACTGCTGAAATATTGCTGGGGGTGATTTGCACAGCAAAAATCCAATCACATCTACTGTTTTTTTTTTTTCAGTGAGCAAACAGGGCCGTCCCCAGGGAGTGAGTGAGCCACGTGCTCTGAGGAGAGGCTGACCTCACCCTCCCCAGGCCTCCCCATCACTGTGGCCTGAATTTTCAAGGCCTTTAAAGGTTTCTTTCACTCACCAGGCTGAATTCTTAGTGTCTGAAAGAGGGACTTCTCCATGGGAACAGCTGTTAGGAAACAAACCACCACACAAAGCTAACCTTTACCACTGAGTCAAGTGATGCTTGAATTACTGCTGATGCTGCCAAGGATACAATAGGACAGGATTCATCTGCCCTTTCATTACCATGAATTAAACCCCCAGGAATGCTTCATACTAGCTCCCATCCCTTCCTTCTGGTCACTGTCCTGGCTGCTGACAGTGGTTCCCGGAGAGCACTGAACGACTTCTCTCTTACAGGGGAATTTTATTCAGTTCTCCAAAGGGCAACCCAGCCCTAAAATTCTAAGGAAAGAGTCAGTGTCTATGGGAAGTGATCTTTTAAGTCACATTCCTTTGAGCAAGGATGTGTCAGTTCCAGGTGATGCTGCTGACTTTCCATTCCAGGCACAAAGAGCTTTGCTTTTCCATCGAGCTACCTGATGAACAGGATAATATTCATCTTGGCAAGCACTGTGTACCCAAGGATTTTGAGCACAGCATTGCAATTCTGAGCACAGTTCCTGCTGGAATGCTTTTCCTTGCTCTTTTATTTTGAACCCGAGGAGATGTTAGGTCAATACTCACTTGCACCACCAAACCACTTGTACTCAGAGTTCTCTCCTGAGCCTCTCATGCTGCACAGGACCAAGCCAACAAAGTCTGAATCCCAGCTGTGTGCCTGCCAAGGATGCTCAGCAGAATTCAGAGTACTGTCACTTGCTGGCATCGATCTAAATAGATGGAAGAGGCTTGGCAGGAAAGTCATTACATATTGGAAAGTTCATTTAGAGTCTATAGACGATTTCCTCCTCTCGTGCTGTAGCAAATTAAATAAGGATACTACAGTCAATAGGATTACATGGAAAAGAGGACACATAGTCCAAAAAGCATTAACAGTAAACTGAAAACATTAATGGTAACTGAAATGGATGATCTAAAATTATGTGATTTCTGCTTTTGAGGACAAGTAAAGACAAAGTTAGAGAAAGTTTACAGCCATGCCTACATATAGGATTCTTTAATGCTCTGAATTTTGCCATAGTACTGCCTTTTCCATCTACTTTCATGTCTTATTTTAATATTGCTGGTTATGACAGTGCTTAAAATAAACAGAAGTGAAGATGAGGGGTGACATGAAGAAAAAAATAAATATGTCATAGAATCACAGAATCATAGGGATTGGAAGGGACCTCTGAGGATCACGTAACCTGCTAAAACAGGTTCCCTATGGTAGGTTACACAGCTAGGTGTCCAGGCGGGTTTTGAATATCTCTAGAGGTGGAAACTTTGCAACCTTTCCTGGGAGCCTGTTTGTCACCCTCTGTCATCTTCGCAGTGAAGTTCTTCATCATGTTAGTATGGAACTTCCTGTACTCCAGTTTGTGCCCATTGCCCCTCATTCTGTCACTACACACTACTGAAAAGAGCCTGGCCTCATCCACTTGACTTCTGCCCATTAGATATTTATAAGCATTGTTCAGATTACCCCACAGTCTTCGCCAGGCTGAACAGTCCCAGGTCTCTCAGCCTTTCTTCATAAGGGAGTTACTCCAGGCCTCTAATAATTGTCATTTAACCCACACAAAAGGAAGATGCATATTAAACTTTTAAAAACTTCCTTTTGTGCTTCTTCAGTGGTCCTGAAGCAGATTTTCAAGTTCAGAATTATCCTTTTTTTTTCAAATTATATATGATCAGTTATTTCTTTTACACCAAACACAAAAAAGTGTCTCAATTTCTAAGTAACACAAATAAAATAGTCTGCTACTAATGAACACAAGAATCACATAAAGAACAGATAAAGAAAAAGGTTTCCCAAGAGGAAATCTTACATTGCTTTCAACTGTAGACCTAACCCAAGTACTGCTGAGGAACCTACCTGGCTGGTGTTGCAAAACCCATTTGATATGGGAGGAAAACTACTTTCAGGGGGAAAACATAAAATTTCTCTAAAATATCCATCAGAGAATAAAGAAACACGTATTGTCTCAGAAGATGCTGTTCAGAGCACTTCACTGAAATGATGCCTGATCACAAATTGACCTAAATATACAGTTCATTACTGTATTGGGTAAGCTGCTGGGGTACTTAAAGACATGGTGCTGCTGCTGTTGTATCTCCATAAACTTCCCTTGCCAGACAGTAGGCCATATTTTGAGAGAAAAGCACTGGGCATAACCACTTAGCTGTTGGTTTAAATGAATCAAGTAATGCTTTTCTTGCAGAGCTAAGCCCAACCTACTTATTGTTTGCTGCAAAGTTTCATCACTGTGCTTGGCATTGTCTGTGTGGGATGTAATGGAGATGCTGGTTGCTTTTCTCAGGATGCTCTGGTGTGCACTGAGCTACTGCAGAGCCTGGGGATGCTCCTGTCAGCACACACAACAGACCCTGTGATTGCTGGCCACGCTGCTTGCATCATCAAAAACCTGAACCTTTCCAAGAACAGACAAGTGAGTACCATTTGGTTTTTTTTTATTGAATTATGTGTTTATGAATAAAAGGACCTCATGTGTCATAACAAAAGTTATCTTTCTATATTTTTCCAATACAATGCAAACATGCTAAAGAAAACAAGAAATGTCTGATTTTCCTATGAGTGATATGCTTACTTAATTTGGGTGACCACATTATAGGGACAAAACATATTTTGAGCAAAGATCATTCAAACCAATTTAAGGAACCATCCAGAAGAATCCCTGGTTGGTTAGAAACTGAATCCTGATTTCCTAACTGTCACTCTTTATATACCTTTAGTTACCTGTTTACGGTATTCAGAACTGATCTAATTTCACTCACTCCCAATTTGTTAAACATAACCCCTCCAACTGCTGATGTATATTTTCCCTGCTTGGCCAAGTACACGTTGTGCCAAGATGCTATCAAGGCTTCTATCGCTGAATTTGCTTCTAGTGAAATCCATGCCTACATATGCACTTCCCTGCTCATTTTCCAATTGCAAGTAGTTGCAGAGACTTCTTCGCTTACATGTCTCCAGTGTCTGAAACAAAATCTTTTCTACATGTGACTTACCTGATTTCAGGTTTAGGGACATTTTATCCTTTCTTTTGTTGTACTGATAATTTTCATTCTTGCAGCTCTTGTGTTCTGTTGAGTTTTGTCTAGATTGGGTTAGGCTGAAGTACCAAACCATAGTACAAAATAAAGTTGTCCCTACTGCAAAGACTGTTCTAGCAATCCTTTGCCTGCTTTCCCATGATATAACAGAGCACTCAATACAACTGGAAGAGATTTAAATCAGCCAAGCCACTTTGCTATAGAACTATGAACCTAACTAATAATGACGAATGGGACAAACCTTTCAGCATGTCTTAAGCAGGGATTGGAAATGTCAGCTTTTCACTTATATTAGCAAAGATAGGAATTAAAATAGTTCTTACAGTTGTGAAATCAATTTTTGCAAGGAAGTGCATTTCTTCAAACTCAAGGCCCACAGTAAGAGTAAAAATGGACCATGCTTTCAAAAGCTGCTTTAAAAAACTACCACATTTATCAATTAGGTTCTGTGACTTTACTCTGTCCTTGGCAGGGAGCTGGTTCATCTTCATGAAAGCATTGCGGGGTGCTATGTAATATATTTAGCACTCACTTCAGAAGTGAACTCACAGAAATGAATAGGATTACCAGGCTTCCAAGGTCAATTCTAAGACACATAAGAGTCCTTGTCACAAGAGTGAAAAAAACAGTGGTTTTGTGCCAGCAGGACACAGACTGTAGCAGCTTTAAAGGCAGCAGTCTTGAATCCAGCTTCAGCTGCTAAGCAGCAAGTTAAAAATCTGCAATATAAAATAAGAATACAAAAGAAGATATTGTTGATGGCCACCTGAGCTCCCTCATGGAGTTAGCAGCTTCTATCATTAGGATTTTCCTATGAGCTGGAGATGCAACTTCCCTAATTAAGTCTGGTGACTTAATTCTGGCTCAGAATTCATTCCTTGGTCTCAAGGACTTTTTGTCCAGGTTTGCACAGACTAAACCTCCTCTCTGTTTTCAACTTGCTATCTAAAACATAAACTCCGGTGCAGAGATACCCATGACGTTCGGGACATAGCAGATGCAATCTAAAAAATAAGGGATAAACAGAAATGTATAACACGTAACAACTCTGCAGAAACAAAACTCACCTTTGCTTGTCACATTCCCTCATATTTCCACAGATCAGAGCATTTCAGCACCAGAAAGCTTTCAAAGCCTCAAATGCAAAGAAAATGATAAACTTCCACATTTCCCCATGCTTAGCTCTGGAGCACTCACGTTACTTTGCTGCAAGACTTTAGCAAATGATAGCCTGATTGTAATATACAGCCTGATACAGTGGTAATAGGTCGAAGAATCCTTAAGCTCCAAAGTAATCTGCGATCATGAAAACACTCCATAGACAGAGCAAGCCTTGGGAAACACTTAAAATCAGGTGATATCTGGCTGTGGTCCCTGGCTGTGCTCTGCTCACAGCAGAGGAGGCTGAGGGGAGGCCTCATAATGGCTGCATCTCCTCACAGAGCAGAGGGACAGCACTGATCTCTGCTCTCTATGACAGTGACAGGGCTCGAGGGAACAGCATGGAGCTGTGTCAGGGGAGGGCCAGAGTGGGGGTTAGGGAAAGGTTCTTCACCAGAAGGCGCTGGGCATGGAACAGGCTGCCCAGGACAGTGGGCACAGCTCCAAACTGGTGGAGTTCAAAGGGTGATTAAATATATGGTTTAGATTTTGGATGGTGCTTTATGAAGCCAGGAGCAAGACTCAGTGATCCTTGTGGGTCCTCTCCAACTCAGGATATTCTGTAAATCTATGGTTTGTCACTTGGCTGCATTAGAGCTGGGAGAAGAGACATTGGCATTATCAATGTCTTATTCCTCAGTATTGCAAAGAGATACTCAGTATTTTTGAAGCCCTTGGATACCACCAAAATACGATGGAAGTGCTGAATGTTTATCTTTTTCTCATTGCAGAGAATCATTGAAAGCCCATGTGTTGAAGGTCTCCTCCAGACCATGCTTTCTATTGACATTGAAGAAAACTCTCTTCATTATGTGACATCCTGCCTTGCTGAGCTGGCAAAGCAAGGTAGGGAAATAGCCTGACCATAAATGGCTTCCTTTGAGAAGGGTACACATCCTTTATTAATTTTAATGGGAATTGAAGCCTAGATCTTTCTTCTAAGTTTACTGGGAGTTTTGCCATAACATGCAAGGAGAGCAAGATCCAATTTACCGGTAAGGTGACATTGGCTCCATTATTTGCATTTTTTTTTCTGTTAAACTGCTTAATCATTATTTTGCTTAAAACTCTTTGTGCCAAACTTCACTGCCATACATGACCTGTCTACTGTTATCTGTAATGTCACCCAGTTTCTCAGCTGAATTCATTTCATAATGCCAGAAGCTAATCTAAAAGGAGAAAGAGACTAAAATACAAAGTGTGTTTATATCCTTGAATGTATTGCACGTGGATTTTATAAGAGATCCCAAATTACCATCCCTCAACAAACAGCTGTTCTCATGACACAGAAGATAAGTGTAAACTTCCCCATCTCACTCTGGGACTGGATATTATCTGTCAAACATTTCCTCTCTTGTAACTGCCATGCAACTGATGACATACCTCATTCAGTTCCACAAGAGGTGCTCAGCAGCTGCTGGACAGAGACAACTAGGCCAGAGTGGATCTTGAGTTTAAAAGGATGCATCCTTTCAGAGCACAAACCCAATGATATAAAAATCCAACAGGCTTTCTGTGAATCAAATCCATATACCCTACTGAGAGCATAACTTCAAGACATGGCCATATTTTACAATGTAGAAATACTTATTTGCAGAAGTTCAGCCCTTACTTTGTTTCTCCAATTCTGTAAAAGATTTCCTTCTCAAGACATATGGGTTCTGGCAGATTAGTCACACTCTTTTCTAGGGCACTGGAGTTTCTATTTTCAGACTACTCTCCCACCTTTTTGCCTTCTAGAAGGAGGCACATTACGCATGGTCAAATGGATGAATGAACCCTTGACAAAGCGCTTGGTAAGACTGGCTGGCCAACGGGAACATACCGAGACATCCTTTCAAGCTGCCTCCATCATCCAGCACATGATAGATCACGGTAACTGTCACACAGCATTAACTGTGCTTTCAAAGACACTTATGGTTGTCTGAAGTGAAATGAGTCTTTTTCCAAAGGAATTAACTGACAGGTGCTGATCAACCTTTAACATTCCTCCATCATCCTCCATCTGGTTTCAACCAATTCATTAGCACAAAAGAGCCTCCAGGTACCCTTGAAATACACACTTAGCAGTGAAAATAGACCATAGCCAAAGAGGATCTGGGTGAGGTGTTTGCTGCCCTCTTCAAGCACTTCTATTCTGCAGGGCTAGTCTCTAAGCCAATTCTGAGGTCCTTAAAGAGAGGTTTAAGTAGAAAGGTGGGATGGTGTAAAATACTCCTTACTAAAGAAGTGAGAACACGTTGCAGACAAGAGGCATCGCTGCATCTTTGTTTGACCCTCTCTCCAGCACATATACAATATGATGGCATCCCCTCATATAGGAGCAGAGGCTGGAAGGGATCATTGCAAGGGCATGGATAGTTGTTGTAATGCTATAATAGGATGATAACAGCAGGGTGGCTACAGCAAATAAGAACAAACTCAAATACAGCAGTCACGGATGCGGAAATGAAGGAAAAGAGCTGCTTACCTTCAGAAAGCCTCAGGTAGGCAGGGATTTCCAACAAGAAATGCTCTCAGCTCCTCTGAAACGAGGTCTAAGAAGGGGTAGATCCTGGCTTCACCCCTTCTGGTCACTCAGGTGCATTGCATTCACCTGAACTTACCTGGCCTGGCCCTGCCTTCCCACCAGGTGCTCAATCACTGCTTCAGGTCATAACTTAGCATTTCCACTACAGTTGTGTTCCAAAATTTTAGATCACTTCCTCTGCCCAACCAGCAAGAGGAAGATGAAACAGGATCATCAGGAAGGTGAACCAAACACTGCTGTTTTAACTCTTGAATAGATTAGCAGGAACAGTAAAGTGTCTTTTTAGAAGGTAGCCTATGTTTTCAATTTCAGTTAGAGATAATGAAGAGAACATAATTTTAATGAGCAGAAGACAAATACTTTTATGACCACTTGCACTGTGCATTTCTTAGATATGCAAGAAAAAATGTTCAGGGCAAAGTAGTGATGGAGTCTGGCAGCAGCATGCTTCATTGGTCATTGCGAGAAGCTGATCAGTGTGTGTCAGCACGTGCAGCAAACAAAGACAGGGTCCCTGGCAGAGCAGCCCACTGTGCAGAAATCCCACACATCAATTCCATGCAGAACCAGTGCTACCATTAATGGTTGCAGGTGGAAGCCCTTTGCCATTCTCTGCAGTGACACAGGTTGTAACTGAAGGCAGATCAGTTGTTAACAATCTGAAGCGTTGTTACACTAAACAGTTATGGAAGTGTTTTAAAAGCTCCTGCTGATCTCCAGTTATTCTCCTATTTATGCAGAAAAGATGATGCTTTTGTTGAAGTGTCACATCATTGAGATTCAGGCCTACCTCAGGAATTTTCTTACCCACCAAGAGGTTCGCTTCCAGCAGCTGGCCATTTCCACACTCTGCAGACTGCAGGCAGGTACGTCTTCATTGCCAGGCCCAACCTCTGGGGCACTGCCTGCTCCCATCAGAAGCAAAATCTTTGTCACAGGCTGTCACCTACACCCCTGAACTGACAGCTCTGCTCGCCTAAGCAAGCAGAAGAAGCCCAAAGACAGCTGCTACCTTAACTATTTTGTCTGTTTTAAAACAAGAAAGAATATCTTAGAATAAACACAGATATACTTTATTGATTTTGAACTTTTAGATCAGCAGGAAACAGGACCTAGGGTATAGATGTTTTTGTCCATTATGAGGATGCATGGTGCTCAGCCTAAAAGCTTTTCAAATTTAAAATTTTAATTTATTTTGATTAAGCAAGCACAAGCAGATCACATGGATGGCAAAACCTGGAAAGCTGCACATTTTCCATACTAAAATTCTGTTTCTTAATATATTTCTCTCTTTGGTTCTTTTGCTTTTAAATCATTTTTTAAGTACAAGTTGAGTACAGATGAGAAATGCAATATGATAATAAATTAATGATAATAAGTATATAGTGTGTATCTCCACAAATACAGAGCCAGAGCTCTGATACATCTTTGTGTATATCTGCTGTACAGAATCAGTACATAAGAGTGAATTTGCCAACTGAGTGAAACAGCTTTTGCCACCTGGATCTGAAGTCAGCAGCAAACATTCTTGAATGGTTGTAGGGATGAAATTAGTGTCCATCTGCTTGGTGTGGCAGAAAGATATTGTTCCACTTTCTGTATACTTATTTTATACTGTAGTAAGAAACAATTGCATTATCTAACTTAAAATAGAAGCATTCTAAGCACATGCATTAAAATGCAGGGGAAAACATCTGAAGAGGGCAGTTGCTGCATCTTACCTAATACTTGTTTTTCCTCTTCAGATCCAGAATTCTCATTAGCATTCAGGAAAAGCCAAATGGCCAAACTCCTCGAGCAAGTCCGTCAACAGACAGAAGAAACTCAAGAGCTCCTTAGGGCAGCTATTTGCCATGCAGACAGTTAATATTTAAACCAGATAGCTTACAAAAACTCACCAGATCCAAGAGCCTGAACTTTTAGAGATGACTGTCTTCATTAGTACCTGTAGCTTAATTGCTCCTGTTACTTGCAGTTTCCTGGTATGAACGTGGTGCACAACACCTTTACAAAGCAGAGATGTTCCGATAACAAGAGTGGAACCAGATCAAAAAGCAAACACAGTATAACAGCTGCCATGAAAGACTTGTGAAATGTGTATATGAAGACAGAAATCTATGTTCTGCAAATGGCAGGTTATTTCTATAGGTACTTGCAAAAGAGAAAGTGAACAAATTCAACAAAATTACACATTAATGTTATACTCTGTTAATTCATTTTGAAAGAAGTTCGAGGACCAATACATGTAGTAGTATGCTTAGCTCTAAATTCAACTGTCTTGAATAATGTGTATACAGGTTCAGACTGCTCACGCTTTCCCTCTTCTCCAGGGGGCAGTGAATCTGTCTCATGGATCTTCTTGCCAATCAGAACAGTATTTTTCAGAAAAGAAAAACACAATACCAAAGTCCAGAGCCTTGAGCTTATGGGGCACTGCTTTTTTTTTTTTTTTTTAATGTTTTAATTTCTAGGAGAAAGCTAACCTATTAATAGTTGTCTACTACTAATAATAATTCAGTAGTAATCTATTTCCTCCTTTAAAACATACACTTCTTTTTTTAAATTCAGGAAGCTGGTTGAAGCTTCTTGTTGGACTGGCTGGAATACTGTAGTTTTATGACAATTCAATTGGCAAATCTCTGCTCCCAGATTGCACAGTTTCTTATTAAAAAAAAAAAAAAAGATGTACAGCTTTAGAGTTGCTATTGGCTACAAACATGGAATACAAATTGAGTGAGATGTAGAAAAACATCTGCCAACTAAGATCTCACTATAACATTTTACTTTGGTCCAAATCTTTAAGCTGAGCTTAGGAGCATGGGGAGACATTTTATTTGAGTAAAGTTTCATTTGAGCAACTGCAAGTTCTCTCCAATTATAAGGTCTAAAAACAAACAAATCAACCCAGCCCCAAACAAGTAAAAGCTTCTCTTGGATAAAGCAGTATGGAATTTTCAATACTCATGTGTAGCAGATAGTAAATTTCTTTAGAAACATCACGTGAAAGACCCATGCACCTAATGATGCATGTTGGTGCAGCTGGGTTCTTAGAACAGAGGAGCAAAAGGAGCTGACCGACACAAATAGGGATGAAAGCAGGAGATCTCCAACTTCAGGCCACCTCCTTGGAAATGACTTTAGATCATTTTCCAAACAGAAAACCAGTGCAACTTCTTATGACCACTGTGGCATAAGTGAAGACTTTAGAGCGTCTTCTCTCTGTTTTTCTTAGCTATTTAATTGCAAACGTTACTTCAACATCTTTGCAAGAAACAAAGTTGTTGTGAAAGGTCACTCACTACTCCATACCTTCAGAAATGCTTTAATTTCTACAACTGCTGATTCTACCTCACAGAACTGTTGACTCCAAGCGTACAAATAACAAAACAGATGCAACAGCAGGCAAAAAAGCTGGCATTCATTTTATGCTGTACTTATTACTGATAACAATATTCAAATCTTCCAGCATTTAAGAAAGGGGGTTAAACCCAAGATTTAAAATCTTTTTTTTTTTTTTTTTTTCATATTTTTGGACTCTCACATCTACATCTATACCCATTCTGTAGACTTTAGTTTGCATGTTGGGTCCTTGAAAAAGAGCATTTGTTTTCCTTTTTATTTGAAGCAAACCTGGAATGAATATAATTATACATTGTTTTATTTGCAGTTCAGTGCAAAGAACACATGAGAAATGAAGTAAACTCTTCATCTTTGTGCTTTAAACAGCAAAGTGAGTTTTCTGATGTCTCACAAAAATAGTCAAGATCAATACAGCTTATGCCTGAGCCTAAATGAATCCTTGGGCCAAAAAAAATGAAGCTAAATCTTACTGGCAACATCTTTGTTCTGTTCATAGCTGTAAGTAATCTGTACTGATTTTTCAGTGAAGAGATCAGAGGAAAACTAAAAACTAAAGAGGTTTTACGCATACCAGGAACATGAACAAGCATTTTCCATCACAGTCTGACTCCTGCTTCAAGTATGCAAGAAAATCAAAGTAGAAATAGAAATATTTCAAACAAGTTTTATTTGGTACTCACATGCTATAAAGGTTTAAAGGAAAACTACATATTTTGGACACTTTAAAATATTGTGGCTATGTACATGGAAAATTAAAGAAAGCGAGAATGGAACCCAATTAATTTTACTGTGTCACAAACTAGTATTGAAAGCATTCTGACTGAATAGCTTCCATGTTTTCTGGCAGATAAGTCTCTTTTTTCTTTGCTTTTCCATTGCTTTTATCCCATCTCCTGTGTAGGATGAACACTTGGCAGCAGCAGAAAGTCATTTCTTCAAGAAGTCTTCCGCTATTGTCTCAGAAGATTTCTTCTGCAAGCACAGACTTTCTGCACAGCTTCCTATAAGCCTAGCTCAGTGCTCACTAAAGGCAAGGTGCAGGAATCTGAGTGGCCTTTCTCTGTCAGCACGAACCAAAACCCCATAAACCCCCCCATTTCCACTGCTATGGATCTACTCAGGGACTTCAGCGAACAACTCATCAAGCCCTGGTTGATGTTTCCAACTCAAATACCCCGTGAGTTCTGCCTGCAACAGCACAGTTTATCACAGCATAGAAAGGTGCACAATGTTACTGTTCTGCTCAACAACAACTGAAAGTGAGGGATGGCATAATGATGGTAGAAATCAGCATCAAACTAAAGAGAATTGCTCCTCTTATCACTCAAACTGTAGTGCATTATAAAAATCACACGCTACATACAAAGCACAAACAATGACCATTTTCCATTTGCTCTGAAACGAGCAAAACCAAAAAATTCCCCAAACCTGCTTTATCATCAAAAAATCAACTATTTCAGGTTTTACACAGTCTTCAATTGTCTGATAAGGCAAAGGAAAAGTCTTCCATCATTGGGAACAGCAGCAATTTACAGGACTTAGAACAAGGTTACTCCCTGTGCATGTGCACCCGCACACATCTTTTATAGTACTGTGAACATGAGTGTAACAAAAAAATAATCAAGTTTGCAGTACCATTTTATTACATTTTTCTAATTTATTCAATTAAACAATTTATTTCTGTACTGAACAAAATTCATAAATACATCATCTAGGAGAACAATAGGTTTTCCTCTTGTCCATGAAAAAATAATGCTTTCAAATTTTCACATTTTAAAACCTGCCTCGTTTTGTGTTTTTAGAGAAAATGTGAGAAGATCATAGTGACATCTCAATTTACAGAATGTCCCTGTAGGAATTACATTTATAAGAACCTGATACAGAAGCCGATACTCTGCCCCCATAATTAGAGTTCTCTGCAATAATATTTAAACCAACAGGTTTAAATAAAACACCTCATTAACTCTACTCGTAGAGCAACGAGGTATTTAATTTTCAAGTATCAGAACCACAAAGTGTAAAAGATTCTTTGCCAATTTTACAATTATGCCTTTTAAACCAACGCCCACCTGAAAAAAGAAGAAAAAGAAGAGTAAGCCCCACTACCCAAATCAGCCCATTGCTTTCAGATTCCAGTGTCTTGTGTTTTCAGGAATGCAGAAATATCCATTTACTAACAGAAAAAGCTCATTGGAAAAAGCCATATTAAGTAATGCACGTGAAGCATGATTTCTCTAGTGATGAAAACTATTAGAAAGGTGATCCAAGTCTATGTCCATCATTTCTTCTGCTGGTTTTACTAAAGTCCTTCCAAAAAAAAAAAAAGATGTTCAAGAAATCTTTACAAAACCTGGAGAGAAAAATAAAACACTCCTTCATTGCATGGAAGAAACTCCCACTGACTGCAGAGACGTTTGTGTCACCTTTGGTTCTTCAGAAGAAATAATCAGATCACTTCTACAACAGAAGGCATCAGAAATGACAGGTCAGCAAAGAGTAGGAATGCTTAATTCAATACGCACTTATGCAAATGTTTTATTGAAAGATAATTGTTTCTTATATTTTCTAGACAAGAGAAGGTAAATTAGGGTTGTCCAATTTAATTTCTTATGTTAATAATTGTTTACTCAACATCTTTTAAAAACTACAATGCAATTCAGAAAAAAATCTGCTGTGCTGTAAACCACCACTCAGTATTCATGGCAGCAAGAACTTGATGAGGGAAGTCATTCAGAATTTGACATAAAAGGCAGCTACCAGCTCCCTTTCAGTGCATGCATATCAGATGTTACATTTGCAGAACTGGAACATGATTGCAGATCATAAACTAAGAACAACAGCTGTCACTGTTATCATTTCCACTTGAAAGCACAGGGCAAATATTTTCAAGCAATTTCTAAAGGCAAATAGCACAGTGTAACTGAGAACACCTTTCAAATAAAAGATGAGGACTCATCATAATTCACACAGCATCTGTATGTTGTTGGTATACGTAGCTTTACAAACAGAAGATTTGCTTCTCTCCACAAAGAATTTTGGGTTTAAAATGCTTGAATTATTCAACCTGTGTCAAGGAGAAGCTCTAGATCCACATTACAAACTATAGTGAACTAAGGCAAACTTACCTGCTGTTTGATGTGTTTGAACACTGTCTACCTGAGGCAAAAGAGTCCCCTTATCTTCAAAAGCTAAAATTGGATTCAGAGGAATTCCGGGGCTGTCGCTTCCATCATTGTTCAGGGCATCCAGCCGGGATGGTTTAGAACCAATAGGTAGATTTATGATCTCTTCGAAGTTATCGTTCTGCACAGACATTCCATTTTCCTCTGTATTTTTCTCGGGGTTGAGATTGCTGAGAGAGAAACGTAAGTATTTCATCATACACTTAATTCAGAACAGAAGAATAGTCCTGCTGAAAGTAATATTACAAACTGAAATTTGCATTAATCCAGAACATTTTTTAAGCCAGTAAAACCAAAATTTCATGACTACCACGGCAGATGAGCTGTTGTTACAGCAAGTAATAGATCTGCCTTCCCTGCAACACACAGGGTTGTCATTACATTTGGATACACTATACCCAAAACTACAGAGATGTTTGAGTACAACGCGGCTCTGAGAAGTTACTGAAATGGAAAGCAGTGAAACAAATCAATCCAACAAAACCCACCAACCTTCCCAGCACAACCACTGCTATCTGAAGCCACCCATCTGATGGGATTTATGGCCTTTCTCAGCTTTCATAAGCACTGCCATATCTGAACGCTGAGGTACCCTTCCTCATACTGTAAATGAGTCTTCCTGCTCTCAGATGAGGGCACTGTACTCTTTGGATCACCACTTGCCTCCAGTTTTTGAGCAACCTCTTCTACCTGCCACTCACCCAGAGAAAAAAACTCCTGTATCAATTCAGCTCTCCTTTTCATCCCTCTCCGCCTGGGCCTTATTTTCCAGGCACAGCTTGACTCTTTCGTGCAATGACTAGGTCCAGACCAAAAGCAGCACCTCCTGGCATCCCTCACATCTCCCCAACTC